CATCTTCCAAATCACATTTTTCTGAATGTTAAAAGTTTTAATTAATTAACTTGTAAAGTAAGTGAAATATGCTTTCAAAAGTGAAGTTACAGCCGCTATGTTGTACATAAACCTTAATGTAGCATTTTATTCAATTGTTAGAATAGAATTTTATTTCTGTGGTAATAAAACAACATATAAATCATGAAATAAAGAGGATATTCAGAAATCACCATATGGAAAGATATAATGATATGTCCCTTGTTGACTGTGAAAAAAAATGTCATTTCTTGTTTTCATATTAACCAACTCTCTTTATTTTTTGTTAATCAAAATTGTAATGGAGCTATAATAATTAACATCAAGATATTAATCAATAAAACAAAGTAAAATACAAAGTTAAACAGATGTAAAACATTTTTGTTTAAAGAATATTCAAATTTTTTTGTTTTGGTATGTCATGGTTGACCGAGTGTTTGCTTCATGTAGATTGTTTTGTTGGTTCATTACTTTTTAATATTGACTGATCTTATTTTTTGTAAACTTCTTCATTGCATTGTTACTGCACTATACTCAAAGCTGTCCCATAAATTGATATATCTTTGTTAAATGGTTTCTTTTAATTACATGATCCATTTTGAGTTTGAACTGATAGTACTATTATGTAAGTTAATGTAGCAAATAATCTTCTAACTTAGGTGCTTGACAATGCTAAAGAACAGGAAATATGGTTGGAGGAACAGCTTTCTCTTGCAAAATCAGGTGCATTCCAACATGTTGTTGTATTCCAACATATTCCATGGTTTCTGTTTAAACCTGATGAGAAAAAGGAGTATTTTAACATAGATAAAGACTTAAGAATAAAAATGCTGAAAAAATTTCAAGAGGCGGGTAAGTTTGTAATCTTACAGTCTAACATGATAAGAAGTTTAAAAGTTGTTGCTATTATAATATTCTGTTAATAGCTAAGAACGATTAAGAAAAACAAATGCAAAAGGACGTGAATATTGAGTTATTTGTAGAACAAGTCCTAAAAAAGATGGATTGAAGTGGATCCAGCACATCAAAGGGTTGAATACAATTAAAATTGTATGATACACATTTTTTTTTTTCATCAGTTATTTTGAATTCTTCCCACACAGTAGAAATTCAATTTCCCCAGAAGCCATTTTTATTTTCAGTTCTATATATTTTATCAGACATTATCAAAAATAAAAATATCACTCAAGATATTTCAAATTTTAGCAATAAAAACTTTTCATCTGTTTTGTTTATCCAATTTATAAACCTGTAATTAAAGCCAATAATTATATTGCTAGAATGTTTTAATAAATGTTGACAGAAAAATGCCATGTTATCCTTTTTATGCTCCATATATTATAAATTGTTTGAAGTTTAAACCTGCACGAAGTTACTATGGTGCATACCCAGATACTAATTAATTATTTTTAATAGGTATAAAAATTATATTTTGTGGCCACTATCATCGAAATGCAGGAGGATTTTATGAAAACATAGAAGTAGTGACCACTTCAGCTATTGGAGCACAATTGGGAACAGATAAATCTGGAATGAGAATTGTTCGAGTTTTGCCAGAGACAATTAAACATGATTATTATGCTCTTGAGGATTTACCTACTGAAATCAACCTTACCAATCTATAGACTTCTTGCAGTGTGATAGGATGTACCTAAAACTTGGAATATTGTATAATCAGATTAACACACCTAATTGTAAATAAAGTTTTTAATTAACATGAAGATAACTAGTGCATATTATTATTGATATAATTCAAAATAAATAAATATATATATGTGTTTACATACATACAATTAATTTTTGAATGATCATGATATTAAGTGGCAGGATGCATATCATAGTCATTGTTCCATGGATGATGGAAATTGCATTCTGATATTGTTGCTTGTCCACATTGTTTCATAAGTTGTGTATGTATGTCTGAGAAATGTTTTGAGTAAGGAGAACTTACACAGAATTCAAAGTAGTCTGATTAGAATTTCAGAAGATAAGACCTTCTTTCTTCTGAAGGTGCTTGGGTTGTCAACTTATTTTTGATCCTCTGTGAATTCTGATTATGATGAAGGATAAAATATTTTGTTACAAGCACAATAAAATATTTTGTTGTAATGCACAGTTTATGAAATAAAATTTTCTGGAAAGTAATTTTTTTAGTACATATAAGTATATAGCTGTTCTAACAATGTACAGTTATTCATATTTCAATGAGCTTGCTTCCTCACTACTCATTATAATACAAACTTTCTAAAATGATAATATTCAGTTATTAAGCTTCTCAGTCTAGCTGTTCCTAAGTGAAATTGGTCAAATATGGTAAAACCCAGTTATCTCCAGTGTTGGAGCTATATTGTGCATGCCGGTATTTGTCACAATATAATGAAAATAAATACATGAAGTGATAAAAAAACTGTAAGAGATAATAACTTTGATTCACAATTCTAATAAAACTATGAAACATTGATCAAGACAATGTCGGAATATTTTTATAATAGCACACTTTGAATGATGTTTCTTTTTTAAATTTTTTTCCTAGTTCTTCTATTTGTCTAAACAAGCTACCTTTTGGTTTCTTGAACTAAAAGCAAATTATTGTTTACAAGAATAATTCTTAACATGCAAGTGTTTCAACTTTTCTCATTATCAGACTATAATGATTTTTCCAAGCCCGTTCCTGGAAAAAAGTTAAGCACCCCCAAATATTTTTCAGGATTGCTTATTGAAAATAAGGTTTAATTTTCATGATGTTGATCAATGTTCATAATTTCAAACATAATTAAAAGGATGTGAGCGTT